AAAGCAGAAATAAATGAAATTGAAACTAAAAAAACAATCCAAAAGATCAATGAAACCAAGAGCTGGTTTTTTGAAAAAATCAATAAAATAGACAAACCCCTAGCCAGGCTCACAAAGGAAAAAAGGGAGAAAGCACAAATAAACAGGATCATCAATGAAAGAGGAGAAATCACAACGGACACAGCAGAAATCAAAAGAATAATCAGTAACTACTATGAACAGTTATATGGAAACAAGTTTAACAATCTAGAGGAGATGGACAAATTCCTACAACTCTACAATCACCCAAAGCTAGATAAAGAAGAAATAGAACACCTAAACAGACCAATTACAATTAGCGAAATTGAAATGGTAATAAAAAACCTCCCCAAAAACAAAAGCCCAGGACCTGATGGATTTACAAATGAATTCTACCAAACATTCAGAGATGAATTAGTGCCTATCCTTCACAAACTCTTCCAAAAAATTGAGAAGGAAGGGACAATACCAAACACGTTTTATGAAGCCAACATTACACTAATACCAAAACCGAACAAGGACAACAAAAAAAGGAAAACTATAGGCCAATCTCCCTAATGAACACTGATGCAAAAATCCTCAATAAAATTTTAGCTATCAGAATCCAACAATGTATCCATAAGATAATTCACCACGACCAAGTTGGATTCATTCCAGGGGCACAAGGATGGTTTAACATCCGAAAATCAATCAACGTTATCCAACACATCAACAAAAAGAAATATAAAAACCATATGATAATATCAATAGATGCTGAGAAAGCTTTCGACAAAGTGCAACACCCATTCATGATAAAAGCCCTTGAAATTCTGGGGATACAAGGAACATACCTCAACATCATAAAGGCCATCTATGACAAGCCAACAGCCAGTATCATTCTCAATGGTGAAAAGCTGAAAGCAATTCCATTAAGATCTGGAACAAGACAAGGATGTCCACTCTCACCATTGCTTTTCAATATAATACTGGAAGTCCTAGCCAGGGCAATAAGACAAGAGAAAGATATCCAAGGAATCCAAATAGGAAAAGAAGAAGTCAAACTATCACTATTTGCAGACGATATGATATTATACATAGAGAACCCCAAAAGCTCCACAGAAAAGCTAATTCAACTCATCAATCAGTTCAGTAAAGTGGCAGGATACAAAATCAACACGCAAAAGTCAGTAGCCTTCCTATACACAAACAATAAATCTGAAGAAGAAGAAATCAAAAAGACCATCCCTTTTGTTATTGAAACAAAAAAAATCAAATATTTGGGAATAAATCTAACAAAAGAGGTAAAGGACCTATACAAAGAAAACTATAAAACACTGTTAAAAGAAATAGAAGAAGACACAAAGAAATGGAGAGACATCCCCTGCTCATGGATTGGAAGAATAAACATTATTAAAATGGCCATCCTACCAAAAGCAATATACAGATTCAATGCTATTCCAATCAAAATTTCAATGTCATTCTTCAAAGAAATAGAACAATTATTGATGAAATTCATATGGAATCACCAAAAACCCCGAATAGCCAAAGCTCTCCTGAAAAAAAAAGAAGGGAATGGAGGCATCAGACTCCCAGACTTCAAACTATACTACAAAGCCATAATCATCAAAACTGCATGGTATTGGAACAAGAACAGACATACAGACCAATGGAATCGAATAGAAAATCCAGAAATAAACCCACAGATTTATGGTCAACTAATCTTTGACAAAGGAGCAAAGAATATGCATTGGAGCAAAGAAAGTTTGTTCAATAAATGGTGCTGGGAAAACTGGGTCGCTACATGCAAAAGAATGAAGCTTGACCACCACCTCACACCATACACAAAAATCAACTCAAAATGGATTAAAGAACTAGAGATAAGACCTGAAACCATAAAATATATAGAAGGAAATATAGGCGAAACACTACGTGATTTGCACATCAAAGACATCTTTACAGACACATCACCCAAAGCAGTGATAGTGAAGGCAAAGATAAACAGCTGGGACTACATCAAATTAAAGAGCTTTTGCACAGCAAAAGAGACAATAACAAAAACAAAGAGAAACCCCACCAACTGGGAGAACATTTTTGCACCCAACACTAATGATAAAGGACTGATCACAAAAATCTGCAAAGAGCTGATGAGACTCAACAACAACAAAGAAAATAATCCAGTCAAAAAATGGGCAGAAGAGCTTAAAAGAAACTTCTCTGAAGAGGAAATGCAAATGGCCAACAGGCATATGAAAAAATGTTCAACATCACTTGTCATCAGGGAAATGCAAATCAAAACTACCATGAGATACCATCTTACACCAGTGAGAATGGCACATATTAAAAAAACTAGCAACAACAAATGTTGGCGAGGGTGTGGAGAAAAAGGAACTCTTCTGCACTGTTGGTGGGAGTGCAAACTGGTCCAACCACTGTGGAAAGCTGTATGGAGATTTCTGGACCTACTAAACATAGAGCTTCCATATGATCCAGCAATTCCACTCCTAGGTATTTACCCAAAGGACACAGAAACATCAATTCCAAAGAGCACCTGCACCCCTATGTTTATAGCAGCACTGTTTACAATAGCTAAGCTTTGGAAACAACCCAAATGCCCAAAAATAGATGACTGGATCAAGAAGATGTGGTACATATATACCATGGAATATTACTCAGCATTCAAAAAAGATAAACACATGCAATTTGCAGCAACATGGATGGCGCTGGAAGGGATCATGCTCAGCGAAATAAGCCAAAAAGAAAAAGAAAAATACCGGATGGTCTCACTCATAGCAGGAATCTAGAGAAAACTTAAATAAGGGACCAGGAAAATGAATAACTACAAGAAAGTGAAAATCAAAATCAACAAAAAACTATGAACCAGAGACACTTTTAGGGGGGCGGGGGTGGGAGGGGAGGGATTGGGGTCAGAATGGGGAGGCTGCAATTGTATGGGGAATATAACAATAAAATTTATTAAAAAAAAAAAAATAATATATAGCTGAACAAATGGCCAGTTTGCATGAAACAAAAGAAACTATGAGTAAAGCTTTTATTTTAGAGCTGGGAGGAAGCTCATTGAGCACTACAGATAAGAAAACAGGTGCAGAGCATTTAAGTTATTTAACTTAATTGGATAGCTTGTTAGTGGCAGGGCAGGGAAAAAAAAAAAAAAAAAAAAAAAAAGCATATGGCATTGTTACAGGCTAGAACTCCAGAAAGGCTGATTATTTTAGACTATTGTTGATCCACAGGAAATGGATTAGCTAATTACTTCTTGAATCTAGAGATTCTTAGTAATAGCAGAGTAAAGGAATATTGAGAGAGAGACGCATTTGAAGGGGAAATCCCAGGGCCTATTTGGACATGCAGTGAACAGGACCACCTAAACATCAACTCAAAGGCCAAAATGTTCCCCATTTCAGATGGGGACTGAGAACTTTGGGATTAGGCCTTACCTCTAACAAAAGAGTCTTCTGTGGGGGACACAGGTTTCAGATATTAAAGCCAGGGGCCTAACCATGAGGACCTAGGGGTTACTCCATCGGGGCTGAATTTCATGCCCCGCATTAACAAGACTATTGAGTGTGCCAAAAGGCTGAATGAGAACAAGACCTGAGTGGGTAAGGACCTGGCACCAATGGGGGAAAATCCCTGCTACCACTCCCAGCCCCAGAGGAATTGGTAAGCCAAGGGTCACTGTAAGGACCAAGGATAGAGGTGGCAGCCAGTCAGTAGGCACCAGACTGGTTTAGTAGATTAGTATGTCAGGGTGGGGCCAACTCACAGGGTAGGGATTTTAGTGTAGTCATTAGCGTCAATGAGGAAACCAGAAGGACTTGCCTCAAAGTGATGGCAAAGGCCCAAGTGAATTATATACTTACTTACTCTCTAGATATCCTAAGAAGGAAGAGAGAAAACCACGGGAAACAAAGTTAAAATGGAAACATCAGTCTCTGTCTTGGTCTGGAGAAAGCTACACTCTGGGCTCTTAGTTTCTTGGCTCCAAACACATACTTTTGCATCTTGCTCTGACCACTCTCCAACTCCTTCCCTTCTCTCCCACTATCATACCACGAGGTATGGCAGTCAAGAGTACACCTAAGCCTCTCCTTTGACTTAAGCCTCTACTTTGATCTACTCTCTGATCCTTGCCTTCCTAAGACTGGAGACTCAATACAGCATCCAGATACAGGTTCCTCTTACTAGAAGCTTCTAAGAAGTTGGAGGTTTGATGAAAACTTGAAGTTTGATAAAAAGAAAAGGGTTCCCTTTTACATGGGTTTCGGTCTCTCGTCTGCCAGTTTTCCAGTGGGTTAGCAACAGCAGACCCCAGCACCCGAATGATATGCTGTTTAGCCATGAGATGTTCTGGAGCTGGCTAGTCCAGTATTAATGTTGCCTCTTCCACCTCAGAGATGTTACAGCACCGTGGAAGCAATATTTTCTGGCTAGTGAATGCTAAGCAAGAATCAGACACCATTTTCAACAGTTTTCTGGGGAGAGTCAACACAATAAAGCTCAGTCTGGTGGGGGTGGAGAGGTGGGGATGAAGATGAAGGTTTCAGCAATTCCAGGGGCTTCTCTACTAGGAACAGAGAAGTCAACTGTTCAGTGTGGAGATGCTCTCTACACAGTCATAGCCTAGATGGCTGGGGCCAGCCTCACTCAGTGCACCAGGCTGCCCTGAGCCCTAAATCAAGGCATATTTCTTTTTTCTCTTTTCATCTCTAGTTAAATATATGTTGCACCCATTAAGCTCCAAGATAATATAGAAATCCAAACCTGGTCTAGTATGTTAGGACTCAGGAACCAAGAGGCTAAAGGGGAAGCGTGGTCAGCCAAATCTGATGATCTGATGGGGGACACTTGATTGAACCTACAGCTACTTCAAGAACAGGGAATCTCTGCTAGCTCTTCAAAGTATTGGCAAAGAGAAAACTATCCGCTTGACTCCCTCCTCCACCTTCCCACTTCCCAAACAGACCAGTTGATCGGATACTCACTTCTCAAGCAGGGTCAGAGCTGTCACTGGATTTACCCGGAGGTACTTGCAGTTGGGCTGACCATAGTCGGCAAGGTAGGTTGACCAGTCCCATTGGATGAAGAGATCCAGAAGCTGTAAAATAGCCAACCCCCATCCCAGGGATTAATCAAACAGATAAATAAACCAGGAGCTCAGAAACCCTTATCACCCTGCACGGCCAACAGTAGATTGAATAATACAAATAAAAATGTAATAAAAGAAAAAATGGCTACAGACTGTGATGCAACTAAGACAATAAATAAGTGATCACAAGAAGGCAGAGTCGTCTCTGCCATTTGTACCATGACTTGCTGAGAGCACATGCCAGCAATAAGCTCCAGGGGCTGATTTGGAAAGAAACTAACACTGACTGAATCAAAACTCAAGACCATCACAACAACTCATCATTTCATCATTTTTTTTTGAAGATTTATTTATTTATACAAGAACCGGGGTACAGGCCAGATGTGCGGGAGGGTGAGAGGATTCACCAGAGTCAAAGCGGGCAACAGAACAGGCAGACTGACTGAAATACACTGCTGAGGGGAGCAGCAGGTGAGACAGGAGAGGTCTGCCACATCATGTGGGTATCTCCATGGCCAGCTGGGATTGAACCCGCGCTGCAGAGGCTGCAGAAGTTTCACAGCGCTGCGTTCAACCGCCTGCGTCACCAGGGAGGCCCTCATTTCATCATTGAACAAATACCTATCAAGTGCCTCCCAATCAATGCCAAGCATCATTCTAGAATTCAACAGTGAACAAATAAACAAAGGTGGGTATAGACCAGTGCCATAGTGACATGAAATAAAGGTGGGTATAGACCAGTGCCATAGTGACATGAACTTGAGATTAAAAGGACTGACAGGGTTTAGGTACCAGTTTCATGACTTGCTGCACTGACTTTATTCAAGTCACCCCTGCCATATGCACCTGTCTCCATGCATAAAGGCCACTCAGATAACAGAGACTTTGACCCCAGGCCTGAGTAGCCCATGCAGCATTTACATGAGGTAACATGAATCACATCCATGTGGATACTGGCTGAGCAGATGGAAACCAGGCCATGGTGGGTCAGGACTGTAACACAGGCTTAGTCCTTGATTGACAATGCAGAGTCCATAAATGGGGTCATGGGTATCAGGAGTGCCCAGAACTAGATGGTATTTAGATGAAGATAATGAGAGCTCTCTGAGGGTAGACTGTTTTGAGACTGCAGGAGATTTTGACTTGAGGAAATAAGATAAATTTTGTCAAAGTCTTTCCTTTCTAACCAATTTTAGCCTCAGGCAGCACTCAAACAAATATTAAAAAATTATAATTGAATACAGCTAAGAAAAAATAAATAAGTGCATTTGAAGGGGAAGCTGTTAATTCCCCTCTACAAACTTCTAGAAAAGGTATATCCTAGACTTACAACACTGCATAGAGGGGCCTCTAAACATCTTCTCTAGCAAAGAGATACACATTAATTGATTTTTAATTCAAGACATTTCCTTGTTTTTCCCTTTCTAAGAGATAACTGCTGATAGAGATAGTAGATGACTTCTGTACAGAACAAAAGCAGAAAGGCCTAGAGTTAAATCCAATGCCAGAGCCGGGCACCAGGCAGACCATGCTCCTCTGTCTTTCTTCACTGTGCAGCTGGGCAGACAGGCAGGGTGGGCTTTGCCTTGCTTAGCCAAGTCTCCTCTTCCACCCATTCTCTGCGAATAGCTGTTATGAACTTCCTCGGCAGGATGGGAACTGGCAAAAGTCCCATAGCTAAAACTCAGAAAAGTCCCTACAACCTTAGCCAAGAGGGGCGCGAAAGATGAGAGGAGAGGGGGAGAGAGACAGACACATTGGTTGGTCTGGGCCAGCATGGCCCCAAAGGACCCTCTCAGACCTCTTTTAGGTCATGCCTATTTTAGTTGGCAAGCCAAGGGGTTTCTACCACTTCCTCTTGCTGCTCCAAGGTCTCACAGAGCTCTCCTTTAGAAGAGAATTCCCCCTGACTTCCTACTTTAACTTTGATATTTCTGTCCTATTGTGCCCCAAAACCACAAAAGACAGTTCCTCTATCATGCTTCCAGGGAACATGATAGACACTCAGAGTGTCCCCTGTCCCTGAGTTCCTCCAGCACTGTGTTTTACAAATGCGATTGTTTCCCCCTAAATCCCAGGGAAGAACTATAAACAAGGAGACCATTTTTTCAGTTATAATGTTTTCTCAGAAAATTTTTAAAAACCTTGGGAAGCTTTCTATTTGCATACTAGGGCAAAGACTTAAAAAAGAAAAGTGAGTAAAAAACAATAATTAGTTTTCAGATGTGGGTATATACATGCATTTAATAAAACTACCTTCCCTATCAATACATTCTTAATTTCTGTGATAGAATTAATGATATTTATTTTTCCAATGTTTTACAAAGAACACCATGCCTTTATAGACAATGAACTCTGGGTAAATCACCAATGGAGTGTGGAGGGCATTCAGGAGTTAGTTCCAGGGTTTTCTATTGTTAGCCTCCTGCTAAAGTCTCTCAATGCCACTAATAAATCCAAGGGTTCCGGGATGACAAGCTACCCAATTGATCCTGTTTTAGGCATAGAGGCTACACAGCTCAGTTAAGCTCATCCAGTATGAGTGTGATTATACTCTGGTTTCATATTGCTTCCACAGTCCTCGAGGGTGGCTATACTTTGGTCTCATGGCCTCCTCTGAAAGCGTGAATGCAGAGTAGAATCTGGTGAGTTCTTTACTACCCCAGCTACCTGGGGCACAGTTCTATTGGATTCCATCGATGAGCATTAGAATTAAGAGACTTAGAAGAACCAGCAGGCTTATTTACCAGATTGTGACTTTCTTTCTTTCTTTCTTTCTTTTTTTTTTAACATTTAGCCAGACTTTAATAGGCAAGAAAGGAGAAAGGTTGCTTTGGCAATGTATAAAATGGCAACTATTGTATACAAATCATTATTTGGTCAACTTTTATTAAATATTAAAATGCAATAAGGCAACTGTGTTTAAGACACTTGAAATCATGTTTTATAAGTGAACAGCCCAGCACCTGGCATATGTCGCTACTACTTTTCTTCTCTAGTAACTCTAAACAACCAAAAAAGTTAATTAAAAAGAAATAGGTCAGTGGTCTTCTAAAAACACCTCCAAGAGGTTCTCATTATGACTAAGGTGTGACTTTCTTTTTAACTGAAGTACCATTGCTTTACATCCTCACTACTCTCTTGGCAGTATAGGACATCCCCCCTCAGGTGTGGTCACGATAGCTCTCCCACAGTCCTCTGCATAGTCCATTGTTCTCTTCACTCCCCCTCTCACTCGTCACCCTCCTGTGGATGCCTCAGATCTCCAGATTTTCAAAGGTGAATCGGGCCCTTCCAGCTGGTTCTCCACAAACAATGGCCTTGTTAGAGCTCGGTAATTTCTCTCACAAAGACACAGAACATTGAATTATCACTAACCCTCACATTTTATTTTTTAATTTGGAAATAATTTCAAGCTTTTCAGAAAGTTGCACAGAAGAAACACAGCATGAAGAACACAATATACCTGCTAGCCAGGTCCATCCCTTGTCAATATTCTACCTCACACACTCCACCATTTGTGTTCTCTCTCTCCATTTACACATGTGCTGTTTCTTTTCTGAGTCTCTTGAGAATAAATTGCATATATCATGGCTCTTCCCCAGCCCCATAAAAAAAAATCAATGTTCCTTTCCTAAGCATTAGGGATATTTTCCTACATAAATCACAGTATAGTTTCAACTTAGTACATTTAATATTGATTTTGTCCATATTCTAATTCTATAAGTAGACTCAGTAATGTTCTATATGACTTTTGTTTTTTAACTTTTGAACTATATTTGAACAAAAGTTGATTTGAATCATGGGCTGCCTGACCAGAAATGGTTATGAAATGTTGCTCCCCTGTTCAGCTTTTCCCCCCCATTTCTGTCCAGAATACCACACGGTGATGCTGTATCCTCCTCAGGGCTTCACATCCAGAGGCACAAAATAGTCACTGTCTTGGTAATAGCAATTTGATTACCCAGTCAAGGTGTTTTCTGTTCCCTCTGATTAATAATATGTAAATAATATGTTTTTGTGTAATAATATGTTTTTTTTTTCAGCTAGTAAGCAATTGAGGAGACAATTTAAGACCCTGCAAATTTACTGCTTCTGATTCAAATTTCCTCTCAGATGAAGCATCCATTGAGGATTCTTGTGTGATTCAGTCTTTACTATGATAGTTGCAAACTGATGACATGCTAATTCCATCCTTCCCTACACTTTTATCAGTCATCATCCGATATCCTACCATAAGAAGAGCTCTCTTTTTCCTTCCATTAATTTATCTATTTATTATTAGTATGGACTCATGGGTTCCCATTTTTTAATAGCTTATATTCATTACTATATCTAGTTATTTTGGTGCTCAATTTGTCCCAGACTTGGTAAGAGGGGACCCCTTCAAGCTGAAACTTGTGTCTTTGTGATATGCTCCATACATTTGGGAGAGCATTTCCTTCCTTTATGGCATAATAAGGGATTACAGCGCCATTTGTATCTACTGTTTTTTGAAGAGGAAGCTCTATAATCAGCTATTTCTCTGAAGATTTCTGCTTTCATTTAGTGGGAATGTTACTACAGACCAAGATTTGGGTACTAAGTGTGCTCATTGCTACTGAAATGTCTGTCCACTGCTACTAAGGGGCAACCTATGAGAGGAGTTAAACCCTATCAGCAGACAGAGCTAGGAAATATATACATGAAAAAAACCACACATACACACATAAACATACATGTATACTTGCACAAGCATGTATACATACATGTTTTAGCAATCAGGAGTTACACCCAGTATCTCTAGTTGTAATAATTTTCGAGGAGTTCCCTTCTGCCTTCCTCCATGCCATGTGTACGTGCTTTCTTCCACAGTGAGAACCCTGGCTCTCAGCAACATCACCTCATTGACTACTTTGCTCAGTTCTATAATATAACTCAGTTCTATAATATAACAGAGTTGTTTCTACCTACCACTGTAAAAAAAAAAAACCTCTTAAAAAAATCCAAAATTTGTGATTTGTCCTCCC